CACCTTGGCCTCACAGGCCAACCTAGCTTGTTCATCCAGGACCAAAAGTTTACTTGCCTTTGGGAACAGTAGTTTTGATGGGTAACTGGTGGGGTATCGGGCCCTGATGCCTGTGCTGCCCTCTGCCCTCTGCATTCAGAAGGGAGCCTGGGGGAACGGCTAGTCTCCAGAAAAGACTCCAACTCTCACCCACCCCACACCCATTAACAGGGAGAACAGGCAGGGCTCAGCCTGAGCCAGAAGAACGTGTTGGAGGCGGTGACAAGAGTCAGGAATGCGTGGGCTGAAAACTGGGGGGACAGAGACAGCCCAGTAGAGGCCAGGGAACCAGGAAAGAGCAGAGTGGGGAAGGGATAGGATGGCAGATATAAAACAAGATCTAACTGCAGGTCAAATGGCTCTCCAGCAGCTCCTTTGTTGTGTCTGTTCCCATCTCCCCAGAAGAAGCGAACCCTTCTCCAGCTCTGATCCCCTGCCTTTCTACCTCGCTTGTCAGCTTCCTGAAAACGTGCCACCCACGGCTCTCTGGCTTCTGTCCCCATCACTCTGCAGAAATCACTCGGGCAAAAGTCCCCAGGGGGCTTCCCTGGTGGCGCAGTGGTTGAGAATCTGCCTGCCAATGCAGACGACACAGGTTTGAGCCCTGGTCTGGGAAGATCCCACATGCCATGGAGCAACTGGGCCCGTGAGCCACAATTACTGAGCCTGCGCGTCTGTGCTCCGCAACAACAGAGGCCGCAATAGTGAGAGGCCTGCGCACCGCGATGAAGAGTGACCCCCACTTGCCACAACTAGAGAAAGCCCATGCACAGAAATGAAGACCCAACACAGCCATAAATAAATAAATAAATACATACATTGTGTATTATTTAAAAAAAAAAAAAAAGTCCCCAGGGACCTGACCGGCCTCTCTACCGCTGGGTTTCCTCCCCTGCCCGCCCTGGTTTCTCTGTCCCTTACTGTGCTTTCTCGTCCACAAGTATCTTTCTTGCCTGCTTCCTAGACATCAGTGCTCCCCCAAGCTCTGCCTGGACCATTGTCTCTTCTCACTCCGCACACTGTCCCAAAGTCACCTCGTCCACTCCGACAGCGGCTCCCACCACCCCCTTGGGGCTGAGAACCCCCAAAGTACATGCCCAGCTGTTGCTGCCAGCTGCTGTCCTCCACACTCTCCCATTCAGCACACGGAACATTGAACTAACTCCCAAACATCTGGGAAGACCTGCCCCTCCCCTGCCCCGCCCCCCAAGCAACCTCCTCTCCTCCTGCATTCCTTCCTTCCATCAGGAGACCCACCACCTGCCAAATCACCCAAACTAGCAAACTGCGCGCCCTCCTGAGTCTCGCTCCTGCCTCCTTCCCTGCATCCACTCAGACTCCAAACACTGCCAGTTGTATCTGACAGCTATTTCCCAAACTCACCCCTCTGGCTCATCTCTTCCCCAAATCATTGCAGTAATTTTTTTTACTGGTCTCGCACGCCTCTTCCTTCAAAGAGCAGGAGCTTTCTAAACATACCATCAATCCTCATTATTCACAGATTCCATATGGGTGAGTGTGTCTAGTCACTAAAATTTATTTGTTTAACCCCGAAATCAATACTTGCAGTGCTTTCGCTGTCATCCGTGGACACGCACAGAGCAGCAAAACACTTGCGTCACCGATGTGCACATTCCCAGCTGAGGTTGAACAAGGGGATGCTTGGTCTTCTTGTTTCAGCTGATACTGTAAACAAATGCCCCACTGGAGGTTGATTTAGTAGCCCTTTTTTGCATTTTTGTGCCTGCGGAAGGTGATTCTGCTGTTTAAACTGGCCCCCAAGCGTAGCACTGAGGTACTGTCTGGTGTTCCCAAGCATAGGAAGGTTGTGACAGGCCTTAGGGAGAAAATACGTGTTAGATGAGCTTCGTTCAGGGGGACTTCCCTGGCGGTCCAGTGGTTAAGACTCCACGCTTCCACTGCAGGAGGCACGGGTTCAATCCCTGGATCCCTAAGATCCCGCATGCCAGGGCCAAAACAAAAGAGGATAGAAAGATGAGCTTCGTTCAGGAGTAAGTAATAGCGCTGTTGGCCGTTGAGTTCAACATTAATGATTCAACACTATATATAATTAAGGTGTCTTTCAAGAGAAACACACATAGAACAAGGTTACGTATTGATCAGTTGATGAAAATGCTGCAACCAGAGGCTCGCAGGAACCGAACCCTGTATTTCCCCTACTGGCAAAGTTTCAAGATTTGCTAATTCAGTGTTTGTGGTGACTTACAGAACGTAACTACCATGAAGAATGAGAATTGACTGTACCAATCTGACCACATAGCCGCCTTCCTTCCCCCAGGTCTCCCTCTGCACACAAGATCAATCCAAGCCCCTTAACACCCAGATCTTTCACGGTCCAGAATGTCCTCGCTTTTGAGTGCCCCCACTGCTGCCTCCTCCAGCCCACTCTCCAAAGCTCTTCCATCATCCTTCACTGCACACTCTATGCCCTCTGCCTCAAAAGCCTGTCCTCCTCATCTCCTCTTGGTGAACTCCTACACATCCTTCAAGACCCAGCTTAAATGTCACTTTGTCTGGGTCTCCCTCTGGCAGAACTTGACACTCCCCTCTCTGTTATATGTCTCTTATAGCTCTTCTCACAACGTTGTACCCGATCCATTCATGTGTCTCCTCTCTCCTGTACTTGGCAATCATTTGGAGGAAGAACGTGGAGGGGGACAGATATGTGTGACTCTCTTTGCAGGGTGTGTGCATTTCATACATCATTCATTCCATAAACGTAAACGGAGGCCTAACGTGGTACCTAACAGGCCCCATACTAGGCACCCAGGGCCCAGCACTGCCCCACAAGTGTGTAGCATCAGGCCCATAGTGTGGCCTGGGTGTAAGAGTGTGTGCGTGTGGGATGTGCCACGTTCGCTGTAGACCTGCGGTGTTTGTGGCTCTTGGACACACCGTCCATTGAATTCAGGCCCCATGTGACCTGCTGATAAAGGGCATCTTAGAAGTTAATTAGACCAACAGGCTGCGACCAGGCACTAATGACAAACCCTCCCGGGGCATCTCCTGCCTACCTTCCCCACTCCCGAACCGTCACAGCCTGACCCGGGTTTTGCCTTTTTAATCCAAAGACATCAACCATCCACGTGAGATTTCCTCTGGCGAGTAGTCTGTCTCCCCCTTCTTTCTCTGCCTTCCTTACATCTCAGAGAGAAGAGATGAACAGGGAAAGGGAGAGGAAGTCATTTTGGGTACCCACCACGTGCCAGGTGTGTGCGGGCAGTTCACATACATCAGAGGCAGTGGTAGAAAGGGCTTCCTTTGTGCCGGGCACTGTTCTGGCACTGTGCCTCTATTGGCTGGGCTAATCTGTGTGCCAACCCTACGAGGTAGGCAATGCTATTGTCCCACTGCACTGATAGGAAACTGGCACCACACGGAGAGGAAGAGGCAGAGCCAGATTCAGGCCACGCAGCCTGCACTCAGGCACCGCCCTGCATTGCTCTCACTGTCCTCACCCCTCACGGGCACAAAATGTCTCATTGTACATCCGAGAAACAGGGAAAGTCCCCAGATCTGAAGGTCCCAGAGGTGAGATTCAAATCCAGGGCTGTGAGATTCCAGATGCAGGGGTGTGGGCCCAGACGTAGGGGTGTATGAGCTCCAGATGCAGATCTCCCCTGCCTTAAGGCAGTTCCTTCTTCTGCCTGACCCATTAGACAGGGAGGCACCTACTCTGGACAGGACTCATCCACCCCAAGGGACCCCAAGTCCCTTCTGCTGGAACTCACCCTCAATGTCCTTCTTACATCTCTGTGTCTCTGGGACCCTATGTGTGTGCCTGCCCCGGGCTGGGAGACCCTGACAACCTCTTCTGCTCCTCTCTTTATCTGTGTAGCCCAGCCCTAAACACAGCACCTGACACACAGCCGTGTCTCAGCAATGATTCTTGAATTCAAAACACGGGGTGATGGAAGGGCTAGTGTGTGTGGTATGGGGGTAGGGGGCAGCCCCTCGGGGTCGGGGTAGCCAGTGAAGGGCAGTCAGCCATGAAAGCGTTTGGGGAGGAGTGGGGCTGTGTGTGCAGGGGAGAGGGTGGCTTTCCGTACAACGCCTCAGATGCTCAGTGTTGGGGTGCAAAGACTGAACTAGATTCCAGCAGCAATGGGAAGCTGGGCCCAGAAACTGTTCCATGAGCTCTTCGCCATCATGAGAGGCTATGCAGCTGGTACTAGACTTATCAGCTGGTAATTAAGGTCAAGCTGGTGAGTTCCTGGGGGGGCAGGGGCTGATCCGTGTTATGTCGTGCTCACGACAAGCCCCTAAAAATGTTCGTTCATGGGAACTGATTTGCTCATTCAACAGGCGGGTCCCTGGAGCAAATTCAATTAAAATCAACTATTCCAATACAGTCTGATGAGGGCATGGAGGCTGAGGGCAGTGGAAGCCCCGAGATGGGGCCCTAAGCCACCTGGGGGTGCACAGTCAGGGAAGGCTTCTTGGAGGAGTAGGCCAGGTGAGGAGAAAGGTGAAGGAAGGGCATCCAGGTGGGGACTACTGATGGGCAAAAGCATTTGGGCTGGAGAGAGAATTTGGGACTCATGGCATTTCCAAAGGTAACTGAAGCTGTGAGAACAGAAGGCCACTGGGCAGCAACTAGAGATGAAGGAGAGTCTGGAGCAGCCCATAGAGCAGCCCATAGAGTCCCAAGAAGTGGCAGTGGGAATTTCTGGAAAGGATAAGAAGCCAGGTCAGGCCTCAGCTTCTTCCACACAAGGCCAGGGATGGGAAGACAAGCGGGGACTCAGAGTGGACCTGTGGTTGTCCCCAAAATGATGCCAGGATTTAGGGCCCAGCCCCTGGGAGGAGGGAACCCCTAAATTTCCTGGGTCTCATCAGAGGCAGTCTGGGGGGCCTGGGGCCCAGCCAGTGGCAGTGCCTGGCGCAGCTCCTCCTCCTGGCCGGGCGGCACACCCAGGCTGCCTGCCGACATCTGCAGCCTCTGTCCTAGGAACGGGCTTCCCCAGACACTCTCCCTGGTTCTGACATGAGTTGTGGCTGCCTGCTGAGTTCGACGGCTGGCAGCCAGAAGCCAGTACCCAGAGAGCCCTGAGGAGTAGCCACTCAGGTAAGGCCATCTGTGTCCAGATGTGCTCTGCCCCTCAGCACATCTGGAAGGGGGAGACTTCTCTGGTGGAGTGTCGGGGGAGTGGCCTGGACACAAGGCCGCCCTGCGTCCTGATGGTGGAGGAATGAAGATGGACCCCCCCACCTCCTCTGCTCTGAATTTTTCCCCTTTCTCCCCAGCTGAGCAGAGGTGGGAGCCAGGGACTGAGTGGGAGAGGGGCTCCCAGAGGGGCCAGGAGCTAAGCAGGTGGGGCAGCTCTGCCTGGGCCTGCAAAACCCTGCCAACCCCAGGTTGGGCTGGGCGGAGCGCCCCTGGGCTAGAGCCTCCTTGGGTGTTCCCTGAGAAGCTGCCAGGAGTTCCGCCCACCTTAAGCAGGACTGAGCAAAGACAAGCAGATGATTCAGAGCCGGGGCCCACATTCTTATGTAGACAGGACAGTGGAGAGACAGGGCAGGGAGCAGAGTCACCCCCAGCCTCCCCTACCGGGGATTCACCTGGTGGAGGAGGGAGTGGACACAGCAGGCAGCTTCCCGAAACCTAAGGAAAGGGCCCCAGGCCCAGAGTATGGGCTCCGAAGCCAGCCTGCCTGGGTTCAAATCCCAGCTCTGCCACTTACCAGCTGTGTAACTATGAGCAAACCTCTCTGTGCTCCACTTTCCTCATCTGTAAATTGGGAATAAAACATATACCCTTATATACAGTTGCTGTATTGATTCATGCAAAGTGCTCAGAACAGTGCTGGCACTGCATAAACACCCGATAAATGCTAGCTTTATATCACTACCCTGCCCATCTGCAGTGGATCACGCAGTTGTGGGGGTGGGGGGGGCGCAGGACAGCACAGTCACCTTTGGCCTAGACCAGCACTAACCCCTGAGAGCAACAGGCTGTGCAGACAGGCTCCCTGAGGTCCCAGGGAGCCCAGTAGGGTAAGACCACCGTGCACAGGTCTCAGTGGACCCCCCAGGAACCAGGCAGAGGAATTCCAAGAGAGGTCGTGGGTGCCCCTCACTCTGAACCATAGTCACATTCCCTAATTGGAGGTAAATCTGATTCCTGTGTGTTCATCACACCAAACTTGCCAGCAGAATTGACCAGAGCAGCATTTCCCATTGCGGTGTCTTGACAAGGCTGTTCTACAAGATGACAAAAAAGGGTTCTATAGTCAAAGGAGTTGGTGCAATGCTACATATTCTGTCCTCCTTTGGGAGATTCATAATGTGAATTTATTAGCATATGGTCAAGTAAAGGGACCTATTTAACTTTTCCCTGAACACAGTGCCTGCCTACTTTTCTTGAACACAGAATAGAATCCTTTTCTCTTGCTGCTTCTGTTGCCAGCCTATTGAGCAGGGTTCCATGGAACACCAGTTTGGGAAGCACAGGAATACTAGGCTACTCTACGAAGCCTGTTGTGTCAATATCAAGAGAATCACCGCTCCCTTCCTTTTGTTTCAGCTGCATTGCCATTGGCCTTGCTTCAAGTAAGCCGCACATGAGCAGGACACTGCCTGGATATTTATGGTGTTACACCAGACGGGAGTTTGGGGACAAGGTTCCAGCCTCCTCTCTAGCCCCATCCCCCAAACCAAGTAAAAGGCAAAGAGCAGGTTCCCCTTGGGAGGAAGCTGTCTAAGGGGAGAGAGCCTAGCTCAGAAAGGTAAGGAGAAGTCATCCCCAGGTCTGACTCGCTGAGGAGGAGGGCCATGGTTGGGAGAGAGAGGGAAGTCAGCATGTCCCGCCTCCTTAAGACCTGGGAGGATGAGCGGCTCCCTGGACCCGCCTTCACCCACTGCTATGGGGAAGAGTTGGGTTCTGGGCTGAATGACCTGTGCTCAAGGCCCAGCTCTGCACCTAATCGTGTGTGACTCTGCACAACCCCTCTGAACCTCAGTTCAGGGCACGATAATAGAGCCTAGCTCCGCCGTGGTTGGAAGGATCCAACCCGGTGACACTGTTCTATAAGGTGCTGAGCATGAGTGTTCTATAAACTTGGGAAATGACAGTCATCCTCTCCCTGCAGTAGCTACCGACGCCCGGGGCCACCATGAACTGGCGGATCTTCGAGGGGCTCCTGAGCGGGGTCAACAAGTACTCCACAGCTTTCGGGCGCATCTGGCTGTCCCTGGTCTTCATCTTCTGCGTGCTGGTGTACCTGGTGACGGCCGAGCGCGTGTGGAGTGATGACCACAAGGACTTCGACTGTGACACCCGCCAGCCGGGCTGCTCCAACGTCTGCTTCGACGAGTTCTTCCCCGTGTCCCACGTGCGCCTCTGGGCCCTGCAGCTCATCCTGGTCACGTGCCCCTCGCTGCTCGTGGTCATGCACGTGGCCTACCGCGAGGCCTGGGAGAGGAAGCACCAAGAGACAGCAGGGAAGAACGGTGGGTGCCTCCACCCGGACCCCGGCAAGGAGCGGGGCGGGCTCTGGTGGACGTACGTCTGCAGCCTGGTGTTCAAGGCCGGCGTGGATGCCGCCTTCCTCCACGTGTTCCACTCGTTCTACCCCAAATACACCCTCCCCCGCGTGGTCAGGTGCCACGTGGCTCCGTGTCCCAACACGGTGGACTGCTTCATCTCCAAGCCCACAGAGAAGGACACCTTCACTCTCTTCATGGTGACCACGGCCGTCGTTTGCATCGTGCTCGACGTGGTGGAGCTGACCTACCTGGTGAACAAGAGGTGCCGGGAGTGCCTGCTGGCGAGGAAAGCCTGGGCCACGGGCCTGGGCCACCGCCGGAACTGGGCCACCTCTTCCTCCAAACAGGACGACCTCCGCTTGGGCAACCTCATCTTTCTGGGCTCAGACGCTCCCCCTCCTCTCTCACCAGACCACCCTCGAGACCATGTGAAGAAAACCATCCTGTGAGGGGCTGCCTGGTCAGGCCTGGGTTGGAAGGACCCGGCAGCCAAGGTGCAGCCTTGGGGGTGGGAGCGCTGTGCGGGGAGTGGGGACAGGCAAGAGAGAGGGTCCGACGACCCTTTTCCCCAGCTCCTGCCGCCTGCCCCAGCTGTGTGGCCTTGGGCAAGTTACCCCTTGGAGCTGAACCTCGGCTTCCTTTTGTGTACAACGGAGATGATGAGGCACCCCCCAACAGGGCTGCCGCTGTGAGGAGGGGCTTAATACGAGAACGGATGTGCACATGCCTTCAGTGTGTGGTGCCCACAGTCAGGGCTTAATAAAAGTCAATTCATTCACCGATTCAAGGTGACCTTTGATCCTTAGACCTTTGCGAGCCTTATCAGGTCATGGGGTCAACATCTCTGTCCCTGCAAAGGGCTGCACTTGATCTAGCCAGGTAAGAGCGCCCCCAGCACTCCTGGGGGGGTCATGCCCTTGCTCATGCTCAAGTCTAGCCTTTAACCGCAGTTGCAGTTTTAGGCCCGTGGGTTGTCTGCAAAGAGAATGGAGCTTAATTACATGGGGAACCGCGTGCCTCAGTGGAAAGTTAATGGACTTTTGAGTCATAACATTTGCATTTGAACACAAGTTCCAGTGGCACTCTGAGAAAGCGACTACACCTCCTCTCCAAAATGGGTTAATAATACTGAGCTGGTGGGGTCGTGAGTCTGGATGAGCTCACGACTGCGGATGGGGTTAGCCGGCTGTAAAAAGGCCACATAAGCATTAGTCACTGGTATTAGGAAGTGCTCTATAAATGCTTGTGGGAAATGAGGCAAAGGAGCCCCTCCCTGGCTGCACATTAACCTTCCCTGTTCCAGGCCCAAGGCCTCTCTGCAGCCCCCACTGGCTCACACTCCAACTTCCCCAGAAACCCAGGCCCTTAGAGGCTGGACAGGGAGGCTGTGCATTTCATGCTGCGACCTGCATTCCTTGTCTCCACCAGGGCAGCGGTGCCCTTGTCCAGAGGAAACATAGGCAGGCCCTCCCACGCCCTACACAACTCACCAGCAGCCCAAGCTCTGGTCCCCAGAAATGTCCTGCCAGGGTAGAATGCAGTCCTGGACTGGATCAAGTTCTCCCCTTTCCATAGATGTCAGCTGCTGAGGGCCTCAGAACCAGGCTTCCAGAGAAAAGGGTAGGAGAGAGGCCTGGGGACAGGGGGACGGGGGCAATAGGGCAATGGGAGGGGGACGGGAACAATGCCATCTGGTGCCAACCAGGTCCCGAACACGAGGCTACCAGGCTCCTGCGCCTGCTCGGGCAGTGTCCCTGCCAGCACGGGGAGCCAGACCCAGCCATGCCTGGCCAAGCTGCAGAGAAGGCGTGGGCCAGGGGAGAAGAGACACAGGTGTTTGCTCTGAACGTGTGCCCAGCAAGCCCGCCCGCCTACCTGCCTGCCCACCCGATCGCTCTCATTTGGCTCATTGGCTCAGAAAGCTCCCCCAGCAGGGGAGTGAGGAACAAAAGCTGCCTCCAGGAGGCCCTCGGGCAGATGGGCAGACAGACCGGCCCAGGGACAGGAGAGTGGCTGCTAGACCCAAGAAAGGTGAGGACCAAATCGGGAAGGAGGCTGGGCTGGGAGGCAGGGATGGGCTGACGATCCCCAGGGGACCTCGGGCTGTGGGCCAGACTTCAGGGAGGAGTAGCGGGGACAGAGGATCTCTGGAGAAACCCCAGGGAAGCCCCAAGGAGGGGAACGAATGTCCTGCCAGACCAAAGGGAGGACAGAAGACTAGAGAAGAGATAAATAAGAGGAGGGATGAGGAAGAAGTGGGGTTTCGACTGGATTTAGCAAATGTCTATTGTGTGTTCACTGGGCCAGGCTCGGTGCTGAGTCCTGGGGAATCAGAGACGAATGATATGCGGAGGCTGCCCTCCAGAAGCTGAAAGTCTGGCACAGAAAACAGGTAAACAGACCATTTAAGTACCGGTGAGGCATTCTTCCAGAAACGATGGAGGAGGGTGCTCATAAAATGTCCCAGAGGCACAAGGTTTGAAGATGCTGATACCTGAGTCAGGGATAGGGGAGGGCCCAGGGCCAGAGATGGAAAACGATGTCACTGCAGGTAAGGGGTGTGGAGGATGGAGCACGCAGGACACAGCCTGAATGAAACAATGGCCTGTGTGGGCAGCAAACAGCCACTGAGCAGTCGGAGAAGGGAGGTGTCCCTGAAAGAAAAGGTAGATGAGCGGGGGAGGACCGTGCCAGAATCTTAGCTCTGTCCCTTCCCCAATCCCTCCCAAAGGCTGGAATGGTTGGAATTCCAGAGGAACCCACTGTGGTCAGGACAGTCAGCCCTCAGGTCCAGCACGAAAAGAAGGGGTGGCAGGATGATACCAAGCCACCATGGTTCCAAAGAGCCTGTTTCATTTGGAAGGGAATGTCAGGGTGGGGGACATCCTGGAGCCGGAGAGGAGAATGAGGATGGATATTACTCCGGGGTCTGCCCACCAGGCACAGGGCCTGGCTCATGCTGGCGCTCCGTTGGAGAAAGCTGAAGGATAAAAATACACATCCCTCAGGTTTCCCTGGCGGTCCAGTGGTTAAGACTCCATGCTGCCACTGCAGGCGGCACGGGTTCGATCCCTGGTAGGAGAAGCTCTGCACACTATGCGATGCGGCCAAGAAATAAAGATACACATCCCTCCCGTCCTGCCGGGTCCAGCCCTGGGAGCTGATGGGAGAGCGGATCATCCAACCCACACTTTGTTACTATTTCTTTAGAATTCATGCGACGCCACAGGCCTGAAGGTTGGAGTCGATGAGGTTGGTGGGCACATCCATGCAGGATGATTACCCTTCACGTGTATCTATTACTTTGTAGAATAAAATATGCCCTGATTTTGGAACTGGAAGATGGAAGTTCAAGACCAGCTCTGCCACTTCCAGCCGTGGGCCTTGGGCGTGTGCCTCTCTGGGCCTTAGCTTACTCCCCCGTGAATTGGGGACAATGGCAATCCTTACCCCACCGAGTCACTGCCAGTGTGGACACGATGATACGGTGGTTGTGAAATGGTTTGCCAGTCACACCCTTAATGAAGGTTCCCATTGCCAGGTTCTCCTAGGCCTTGTGACCCCCTGGTCTAGATCGTCCACACGAGGAACAAAGGCCACAGTCATCAGGAACTGGGCGTTCCTGCGGGGCGTCCTGAATGCGGTGAACAAGTACTCCACGGCACTGGGCCGCATCTGGCTGCCCGTGGTCTTCACCTTCCGCGTGCTGGTGTACATGGTGGCGGCCGAGGAGCTGTGGGACGATGAGCAAAAGGACTCCATCTGCAACACCCGCCAGCCGGGCTGCGCCAACGTCTGCTGCAATGAGTTGTTCCCCGTGTCCCACGTGCGCCTCTGGGCCCTGCAGCTCATCCCGGTCACGTGTCCCTCACTGCTCGTGGTCATGCGTGTGGTCCACCGCCAGGAGCGCGAGCGGAAGCACCGCCTGAAGCACGGGCCCGACGTCCCATCCCTGTACGACAGCCTGGACAAGAAGCGGGGCGGGCTCTGGCGGATGGACCTGCTGAGTCTCCTCCTCAAGGCGGCCGTCGACTCCGGCTTCCTCTACATCCTTCAGCGCCTCTACCAGGACTATGGCGTGCCCCACGTGGTGGCCTGCTCCGAGTCGCCAGGCCCCCGCACTGTGGACTGCTACATCTCCCGGCCCGCGGGGAAGGTCTCCACGCACTTCATGGTGGCCGCGGCCATGCTCAGCCTCAGTGAGGTCACCCACCCGGTGGGCAAGAGGTGCCTGGAGACCCTTGGCTCCAGACGCCGCAGGTCTAGGCGCTGGACTCACCTGCCCGAGACATGCCCACCGTATGCCCTCTCCCAGGGGGAGCACCTCCAGGATGGGAACTCTGTCCTAATGAAGGCTGGATCAAGCACAGTGGAGGCAGGTGGGTATTCATAACCGGTGAGGTCGGCAGCTGAGACCACCAGAGCCTCTGCCTGCTCCCTAAGGCCACGGCAGGACAGGTGAGGAACGTGGGTGTGGAGCTCAGGAGACCCACCCAGGGGCCAATGCTGGGAAGCAAATCGGTCTCTGGGTCCTCAGCCCCAGGGAAGGAAGGTTGATGGCTGGAGGGGATTTTGTATATGGCGATAGGGTATGTCAAACCCTTAATAAATATGATTTTCTCAGTGTTTTGCAGACCAGGGAGGGAGTGATGGGAAGGAAAGCAGGGGGGTTCACAACGGACCTTGGAGAGGAGGCCATGACCGCTCAGTGGGCCTCTGAGCCCTGGAACCTCAGATCCAGGTTTACCCATCACACACACACACAGTCACACCACACTCACACACACACACCACACACAGAGCATGCCCCCGGGACGTGGTGGGAAGCCCAGAGGCTGACCCAGGGGTCGCTGGACTCTGCAACCAGCTGGTCAAAGCAGGAGGGGAGGGACCCCAGGAGACCCTGTGCCAGCATGAGTTGGGTCTCAGCGAGTGTCCCTCAGATGAGTGCACATGGCTCCCCCATTCTGGTCTCCCGAACCCTGCCCAGCACAGGTCCCCAGAGGTAAGTCCCTTGGAGGGTAGGAGAGGCAGGCCTGCTGTGCGTGGGGCAGTGCCAAGAGCACGTCCTGGGGGGGCAGTCTGCCAGTGTGTCTAGGAGGCCCACGCCCACAGGCCAGGGACCCACGGAGAGCATCCAAGCTAACGGGTCCCTCACAGATCCTCAAGGATGAGGAACTTCCCTTCTCTTTACTGGCTACACAATCCCTCATCCTCCCCTATACACACCACTCAGACCTTGACAACGGCCAAAACCAGCCTAGACTTGCCCTGAGTCCTAGAACACACACAAATGGCTCATGGGACAACCGTCTGGAAGACCCCCAGGCATCTCCCACTCAGCAACCCCCAAACTGACCATGTCATCTTTCCCCAAACCTGACCTCCTCAAGGATCACACCCCCGCAATGAATAACACTGCCATCCGCCCAATTGTCTAAGCCAGGAGCTAGCCTGACATCCTCATCTCCGCCCCATCTCCCAGCCCCTCACACCCCACCTCCCAGTACAGCACCAAATCCCACTAATTTCAACCCCTAAATGTTTCCTGAATCTACCTCTCCTCTCCCACCCCACAGCCTGACCACCTCCCACTGGGCCTCTCCCATCTGCCCTCCTCTACGGGGACAGAGCGGTTGTGTACGAATCTGACCACATCATTCCTCCTGCTTTGACAGTCTTTCCACCATGGCCACCACCCCCATTGCCCTCCACCTGGCCCCACTGACCTCCCCAGCCTCACCCCCACCCTCCTCATACCATCATAACACACCAAAGGGCTTGCGGATCTCCAACCAGACACATCACGCTGGGTCGTGCCGGGAGCTTTTGGACATGCTGTTCCCTCTGCCTGGAATGCGCTTCCTCCCTCCGCTGGGACGCTTCCTCAAACCCCAGGGACAGCCTCAACCACCTTCTCCGTGCACCAGCCTCGCCTGTACCTCTGCCATTCTCCCCAAATTAGAGGGGTCCTCTCCGCATGAGTCTGTGAGCCCTTCACGCACAGGATGATGAGTCATCCAGCTCCCTGCTGTCTTCAATAAAAGTTTGTTAAATGAGTAAAGGGGCTATGAGCTGCTTGACAGGAGGGACCGTGTCTCATTTATCTGAATCTGAATCCTCCACCACACCCAACCCAGGGAGTTCAACATGGCGTTTCCTTGCTTGTGTGTTTTGTTGTTGTTTTAACTAATCCAGCCTAAAGGTTGTTTGTGTTTTTTTTTTAAGGTATTCAGCAATTATTCTTTATTGTTACTGGAGCTGATAGACACTAAATCATTTAGGAGACACCATGTCATAGGTAGTACACATCCCTTAATCAACTTCATCGTTTGGGAGCTAGAATTCGAAAGAAGGAACATCGTGCCAGCCTCCTCACCTTTCCAGGGGAACTTGGTATTTCTTCCCAAGGTATCCACCCCCATCATACAGTGAGGGCACAGCGGCAGGAAGCTTAGGTCTGAACGGAATGGCGTTATGCAGATACACTGAATAAGTCCATATTACATATCTTTGGTTGACTCAGTCTCCCACCCAATAGTTTAAAAACTTCAGTTCACATGCGGGCACCTTCATTCATTCTTTTATTTGTTCATCTAAAAATAGTTATTAAGCACCATTTGTGGGTGCTTATCAACTATCAGCATCATTCCCAAGAGGGAAGCTTTGGGGAAGCTGGTCATTCCATTTCTGGTACCTCCACACAGCCTAAAGGTTTTTATAGGTGAGGAAACTTTGGCCTAAAGAGGGAAGGGGACCTTCCAAGCCCGCAGAAATAAGCTGAATCTGTGGGGGGCTGTGTCCCCCATGATCCCTGGAGAGCCTCCAAGCCCACCCAGATTATTGAACAAGATCAGAGAGCCACTACATCTTAGGTCAGGGTCCCTGGAAGCAGAGCCCGTGGCAGGAATTTGTGTGCATGTAAGGAAGGAACAGAGGAAGCAGGATGGCAAGGGGGAGGAGCTGAGCAGGGTGCGTGTTCAGGGAAACTCAGCCTTAACTTGATTGATCCCCATGGGGTGAAGGGCATTTGGATCATAAGTCCCATCACAGCGTTGTCCCCCCGGAGGAAAGGGCATCAGGCTTAGGAACTCCCATAGCCGTCAGTCATTGGTTTCACCCCAAGCAGGAGGGCTGGCAGGAGGGAGGGGTAGGTGGCTCCCACTCAGTCAAGGTCAATTCTCCAGGGGCAGCTATAAGCCATGAGTGGATGTCCCCCAGGAAAGGGGACACGGGCAGGATACCAATACCATCCACTGAACTCCCAACCTCAAGAAACAAGGTGGCCCCCACCGCCAAGCTGTGACCACCCAACCCCGGGGAACATGGTGGCCCTCTCGACCAGTTCAGAACCAGTTGGCCCCCAGCTGCTCAGCCCAAGGCAGCTCCTGCATGCGGGACAGCAGACAAGCCACAGACAACACCCTCTGAGATTCCAGGCTTCCCATTCCAGGGGCTGCTGCTGGGTCCAACACAGGGCGAGAGCATCCTAGGACCTTGACTACTCCCACGCCAGCCCTCTTCATTGGCACTGTTCCTAGAAGTCTCAAGTCCAGAGCCAACTGAGCCAGGTGGAGACCAAACACCATCTGACCGGCCTGAGGCTACCACTCTCTGACATTCCACCTCCATCTTCTTGAAAACTCTTCCCTCTTAGGCCCTGCCATCTTTCTCCTCCACCCTCCACCCACCCCCATGGCTGCACCTACTTCTCCTCATTCATTAAAGACTTAAGCACATGACTCACAGTCTTCTGGTATTCTCTCACGGCCCAGGGCTGCGGGGACCACCCATACGTCACTCTGCCCTCTACATTCCATGCCGTCCTCGTGTCCTGTGACCTCCTCCTCCACTCCATTTAGCTACCCACTTGTAGGACCACACCCCGGACCTTGTCTTCCCCCAGAACTGCTCCACCTCTAGAATCTTCCATCCAATTCAGGTCAGTGAATATTTATTGTTCACTTTTGTGAGACAAGCCCCGTGCCAGGTGCACAGGATTTATCTGGGAAGAATCAGGCACAGTCCCTGACCTCGTGGAGCTTACATGCTATGAAGAGGATGGCCGCTGAACTCGTGACACCTGGGGAAGCAGGGGGTGCTGGGGGAGGGGGAGGGGGAAGCCAACATCCGGGCACCCAGGAAAAGCTTCCTTGGGACTTCTTTCTTTTTATTTTTTCGCCGTGCCACGAAGCCTGTGGGATCTTACTTCCCCGACCAGAGAACGAGCCCGTGCCCCCTTGCAGTGGAAGCACACAGTCTTAACCACTGGACCACCAGGGAAGTCCCTGGGACTTCTTAAGCTGACACCTAGAGAAAGAGGAGGATTCTGCTAAGCAAAGAGGGGAGGGGATTCCAGGCAGAGGGAAGAGTATATGAAAAGCCTAGAAAGGAGAGCAAACCTGATGCCAAGGACAGGAAGCAACCCAGGAGGGCTCATGGTAGGAGTCGGGCCAAAGTAGAGAGGGGCTGGATCATACAGTGCTTTCTCTGGAAATCTCCATTAATGATTTTGGACTTTATCCTAAGAACAATGAAAAGTCACTGGGGAGACATCATACAGAAGCGACACGATCTAATTTACAGAGTCTGGTCATAGTGCGGAGGGGCCGAGGCAGGGCTCTCTGTTTAGAGCCTGACGCAATAGTCCAAGTGAGAAACAACAGGGGCCTCAACTAGGGTGTGCACAGTGGTGATGGAAAAAGTAGCTGGATTTAAGAAATGCTTACGAGATAGAATCGAAATGATTTGGTGACTTGGTTGGGTGTGGGGATCAGGTAGAGAGAGGAATCAAAGTGACTCCCGGGTTTCCGGCTCTGGGTGGTGGTGCCATTTACCAAGTGGAGGAGCAGGTGTGATAACTTCCACCTGATAACTTCTGATAACTTCCGTTTCAGACGAATTAGTCTGAGACACAAATAAGATACCTGGTTATCCCCTCTCATTCATGGACTGACTGCCTTATAACCCTGGCTCGCTACTAAGACACTTATTATCATTCTTGGTGACTTCACACCCCAAACCTTGACCTCTCAGTTCCTGGACTTCCTTGTTTCCAGCAATCTTTTTCTCCACCCATTGAACCTGTCCACATGTGTGCTCACACCCTAGACCCTGTGTGTACCGAGAGCTGCACAACCTCCTATCTATGTAGGTCACTCTCTCTCGTTCCCACTCCAGCAATCCTTCTGCCCCATCTACTAGTCAATAACCCCATTATCTCAATGTCCATCACCCCCTTCATATCCCCACCTTCCCACCTTCCCCAGCTTAGAGTCCATGTGCCCCCATGTCATTGCCGACTCGTAGTTATCCTCACTCCCTTGCCTTTCTGTGCTTCTATCATCACTCCCCAGGCAAGACCCTAACTTCAATTAAACCCAACTCTCCATG